TGCAAACACATGCCAATGGACACACGCGCCCCGCCATGCTCGCACACACACCTATGAAAAAATATACGCTCGCACGCACACGCACACGCACACACACACGCACCCACGCACACACACACACACACACACACACACACACATACACACACACACACACATACACACACCTATGAATGTATACGCTCGCACGCACACGCACACTCACGCCAATGAATATATACGCACGCACGCACCCACGCACGCACGCACCCACGCACGCACGCACGCACGCACACAAACGCGCGCGCATGCGCCACACACTTACATGCAGGTTGCTGCCCGACGGGCTAGGTATGACCACCTTCAAGTTCGGCCGGCTGCCGCCGCCGCCGCCGCCGCTCAGCGAATTCGAGTTTGTGTTGGAGATCGGGCCGGGACTCGTGCTCATGCTGTGTCCCGTGTGCACGGCCATGTTGGGTGACCGGTTGCCGGACATGTGGCCGGGTGACGGCTGCTGCTGGTAGCCGTTGTGACCGTTCGGACTCGCTGTCTGTAGCTCCGTCAGCATGCCTCCTGCGCAACACGAGAGAGAGAGAAGGTCAGAGAGCGAAGGTCAGAGAGCAAAGTTCAGACAGTATTAAAAGGTCAAAGAGCAAAAGTCAGAAAGTAAAGAAGAGGGAGTGAAGGCCAGAGAGAAAATGTCAAAGGGCAAAGGTCAGACAGTAAAGGTCAAAGAGCAAAGGTCGGAAAGTTAAAGGCCAGGGAGTGAAAGGCCAGAGAGAAAAGGTCAAAGAGCAAAAGTCAGATTGCAAACATCAGAGAGCAAAGGTCAGAGAGCAAAGGTCATAGGGCCACGAGCTTAACAGTTAAGGTAAGAAAGTCAAGGGTGGAGAGCAAAGGCAGAAAATATATTGTCATGTGATAGAGAAAAGCTCGGGGCAAACAGTCTAGGTAAGATTAAATGTCATAAAGAAATTATTAAATGATATCGGGAAGAGCTTACGTCGTAGCGAACTTGACAGCTGAGAGAGGTAAAAGCTCGGGTAAGCGAGCAAAGCTCAGGTAAGGGACGACAGCTACAGTTACAATACACTTACAATTGTTAGAGACTATAATAGTTACAGCAACAATGCACTTACTCTTAGTAACCTAAATACACGTATATCAATATGCCTCGCGCACACAGCAATCCCCTTTGTCGGTATTTCTCGTGCACTTTATAATCTTGCCCGGTAACAAAAACACGCGCGATCTTTTTTGCCAGCCCACAAACGGACAAACACGTCAGCGTAATTGGGAATGCTGAGTATTACTGATGACGTCATTATGAATATGAATTTCATAAGGTTTCATAGGATGGTTCGTTGGGTTTTTTGGAAGGTTGGTTGGTATACAGAGTAAATGCTCTTAAACCTCGCTCGCGTGGTCTTGGACCTCGACCGCTGGATGCTGACATTGCGGTTGAAGACTCGGACGTAATATTAGGCTAGATATGGCATGAAAGACATCGCAAGCTAAGCTAGATTCACTGCTAATATGAAAACATGATGAGCCAGCAAGCGTCCAAGGTCGTGCAAACGTAACATACGCCGCAAACGGAACAGAATGTAAAGCGAAATTATTAATATCCGCGTATTTTGCGATTTAAAAAACTTCCAAACTCGAAACGACCTTCAAATATCAAGCCGTGTGTGTGTGTGTGTGTGTGTGTGTGTGTGTGTGTGTGTGTGTGTGTGTGTGTGTGTGTGTGTGCGCGCGTGTGTGTATATGTGTGCGCGCGCGAGTGCGCGTGTGTGCGTGTGTGCGTGTGTTTGATTGTCTCTCACGCCTCAGGCGAGCAGTTTTTCTTCGCACATATTTTTCACACAATCATATTTAAAGATTAACTTCCGCAATTAACAGTGTAAAATATAGCACTCCTCCCCCCTCCTCGTGCTCCCCCTCCCCTCTCGATACCCCATTCCCCACCAGCATCGAAAGGACACTCGGTAATTACCGTTCGAAACATCGAAACGTACTTCCTGTGCTCCTGTCCAATCAAGTGCAATAAAATTATTATACAGGTCACTCGAGGAAAGAAAAAAAACACGGGTTTCTTTGCAGCCGTCTTCAGATAATTCGGCGATAAATTAATATAAAAAAATTGCCATTTAAACGCTCTTTGCTAGATCGCCTCCCCATCCCTCTTACAACATCAGCTGAGATTGTTTCGCGGTGACCTACATTCTGACTATGAACACGGAGGGGGGTTCATTCCATTGCGAACAATAAGGGATGCCGCAGCCGCTGTTGCCGCCTAGCCTGCCGATTCCGCTGCTGCACTGTCATCACCACGCAAAATTAAACTAACGGTAGAAACGAAGACTAAACGAACGGGAAGCTATGATCGGGGGAAGTGGAAGTGTGATATAGCTAGGAAGAGGGAGGGGAGGGGGATAAAGCTGGGGAGGAGGCGGGGTCAGAGATGTAGCTGTGGGTGGTAGATGAGGCAGGGGAAGAGGAAGAGTGGGGGATGAAGCTGAGTAGGAAAAGGAAAAGGTTATTCATCTAGGGAGAAAGTGGATATGGAACGAATGTCGAGTAACCGTATTGCCACCGAAACTCGACGAACCGGGCACTATAAAGCCAAATGACGAGTGAGACCGGCATTCCCTGGTGGTGCGTAAGAACTGTTAGTGGGACTGGGTTGGCCTACAGGCAGAGGAGGGTAGCAGACAGCCGCGAGAAGTCCCAGTAAACTGGCGGGCGCCTGTAACCCTACCCGCCGACAACTGTACCGTGGCAAGCAGCGGCGGCCCGGGGGCACACGTGGGCTACAGCTGGCACCAACGAGCAGCGGGAGAAGCAGAAGAGGGAGAACGACGAAGAGATGGAAGAGGAGATGTGTGTGTGTGTGTGTGTGTGTGTGTGTGTGTGTGTGTGTGTGTGTGAAACAAAATGTCACGCCACGAACGCAGATACGACATGGCCGCGCGTGAACAAAATGGCACGTCACGAACGCAGACACGACATGGCTGTGCGTGCATACAAGACGTCGGGGTGACGACTGTGAGAATACAGCACCATGACCGAATAGCGCATAGCACGAGATTACAATGAACAGAAAATTTAAATGCAACGTGGTTAGCTGTTCAAATTGCAGGAATAGCAAACGTATATAAGCATTGTCAACTTTTATGTAATAATGGCGTTTTAGGTAGTAATGACATAAGGGAGTATTAGCGTACAATATCATATACTGTACATGATCCACGAAAAGTCACACTAAAATGTGCATACCCATGCCGGCACTCACACTTGCACACGCACACGCACGCATGCACGCACGCACGCCCACACACATTTACACGCAAACATTTTTTAAACATACGTACACACGCATGCACACACGCATGCCAATGCACGCATACGCACACACGCAAACGCCCACATGCAAACACATGCCAATGGACACACGCGCCCCGCCATGCTCGCACACACACCTATGAAAAAATATACGCTCGCACGCACACGCACACGCACACACGCACGCACGCACGCACCCACGCACACACACACACACACACACACACACACACACACACACACATACACACACCTATGAATGTATACGCTCGCACGCACACGCACACTCACGCCAATGAATATATACGCACGCACGCACCCACGCACGGCACGCACCGCACGCACCAAACGCGCTAGCGCAGCCGCCACACGACTTACATGCAGGTGCGCCCGCACGGGCTAAGTAATGACCACCGTCCAATCGCCGGCTGCCGCCGCCGCCGCCGCCGCTCCAGCGAATTCGAGTTTGTGGTTGGAGATCGGGCCCCCCCGGGACTCGTGCTCATGGCTGTGTCCCGTGTGACAGGCTCATGTTGGGTGCACGTTGCCGGACATGTGGCCGGGCGGACGCTGCCTGTGACGTATCCGTTGTGACCGTTCGGACTCGCTGTCTGTAGCTCCGTTCAGCATGCCCTCCTGCAAACGAGAGAGAGAGCAGAGAAGTCAGAGCGAAGGTCAGAGAGGCAAAGTTAGACACGGTATT